AACCCAAAAAAAACCCCCCCCCCCCCCCACACACACACACACATACAAAAAGTTAACCCTGTTCAAGCAACAATGCACCCCACAAGAAAATACTAGTAATTTTTATACACATACCTGTAGAAGCAATTTGCCCAATTCTAGTGCTATGAACTGATCTTTTCTTGGAAGCCTATACATTAGAAACCAAAAAAAAAAAAACATAAACTTACAACCAAAATTCACCAATACAAGAACAATGGAAGCAACAAAAAAAAAAGGATTTTACCAAGAACAGGAAACCAGAGTCTGCAACACTGCAAGCCATTATAGAGCAAAATTTGCAGAACAAGAACTCACAAAAAAACAAAACCCCACTTAGATTTTTTGGTTCTTTAGCCCTTTTCTTCTCACCCCTTACCTCTTTAACCAATAAAAATTGGTTCTTTACTGTAAAAAATGGTTCTTTATTATAAAAATTGGTTCTTTATCGAAGATAAAGAGTGAAGGGAGGAGAAAGGACCAAAAAAACTTATTTCTGTTGAAGTGATTGGGCTAAGCCGCTATAAGGGCCTATGGGGGTTAAGCAATTCACATGGGGCTATATATTGCACTTTGAATTTGAGGTATATAACACTTCAACAATGGCTATTTGGACCAAATGTGGATAGAAATTTGTGTTGGGATTTTGAGGGACCCCTTTGAGCTATACTTGCAGACTTTTTGTGGTCAATTTGTAATTTGTCAATTTCTTTGGTTCATTAGAGTTCACTAATTTTTGAAAGTGGGAGTGTTTTTCTTTTTATTGGTTTGGATGGTTGCTACCTACCTATTGTTTCATCGTGTAACGATCACACCAACTTGATCGTTATTAAAATAGGAATTTTCATCGTTACATAACAATGAATTTAAAGATATGATATAATAAAATTTAAGTAATAATAAAAACAAACATTGTATTATACAATACAATAGGTAAGAATCATCCAAACAAGTTGTTAATGTTTAAGTGCTTCAAGATTAACTTTAATTCGTATTAGACAAAAATTGAAAATCAAGGTCTAAAGTTACAAACTTCAAACATACAAATTTGAAGTTGGGCTTGTCAAAACTCAACTTCATTCCTATACTCTAGCCTCATCGCAAAATTAAATTGCAAAGATGCAAAAATACTTTGTGTTTGATACAAGTTTTAATTGTTAATGATATCTTGCGTGAAATAAACGTTACTATCAGAATCGTGATTCACTATGAAGCAATCCGATAGATTAATTAATTTCATCTTTAGTAAGAAAACGCAAGTTCAGAACTTGGAAATGTAAAGTCTCTCAGTAAGATATAAATTTACTTGTACAATACACAATCATCCTCTTTATATCTATATCTTAGCATTATATATCGCTTTGAAAAGCATTTATATTGCTTGTAGTGCAAATGTTGGAAACAAGTCTTTGACTGTCTTTGGTCGAGCAATTGCTACATTTCTCGAACAATCATAATTTACATAACTTTTCGATCTCTTTTTCAAGAAAATGAGTCTCAAACCGTTAGTTCTTACCTTTTGATTTTTCTTATACGTAGATTTACCTAGCGTGAATTTAAACTTATTGATCAAGTAAATCTAAACTAAATATCTAAAAATAATAATCATGATTTAAACACTTATCATGTGCTCAACACATCTCTAAAAAGTTTTCCACCATTAAAACTATGAAATCATAAAGTCCCTTAATGTTAGGTTCTATTTGTGGTCTTGTGGACGGTGGACAAGTGACCCATTGATAAAAGTGGCACTGTACAACAAACGGCTTATGTCAATTATATAAGTTTTAATCGATTTTGATAGTCATTAGTCAGAATACGAAAAATGTCTTAATCTATGATTTTCAAGTTGACTTAATTTTTCTTGAATTAACAAAATATTGAATCTCGAGTTTCAAACTGAAATATCATAATATTAAATTCTTACTTACAAATTACAATGCACAAAGCCTCCATAATTTCACTTTTATGGTAAATTTTACTTCAATTCTTCTTTTATATAGTAGTTGTGTAGTACACTCCCTTCTTGGTAAAAATGACGTTTATTTCAAGTTAATAAATACATTGCATATATTATGTGTTTGTACGTAAATTAGATTTAGCATTTAATCTTAATTAATTTAACATGTATTTTTGTCTAAATAAATCAGTTAATTATAATAAATTTATATGGTAAAAAGGTCAATATCATTTTTGCTCTAGGTAAGAATGAAGTTAAATTGAAGCCATCAAAATTCATAGCTAATATTAAGCTCCCATTTAACTACGAATTTTAGGAGTATTTAAAAAAAAAAAAAAAAAGTTATTTGTTCATGAAATTTGATTAGTTTTTAAGTTCTAAAAATTGGTCCAGAGGTCTTAAATTCGAGTCTTGGGTATGAAAAAGTTCATGTTAGGGAGAACTTCGCTCTTAAATGAATCTTACGCGATGTGAATCTAATTTAATCAAATCTCAATATAAATATCGAATACAAAATGAAAAATAAAAAAAATCATTTTATTTTCATTCCTAATTATAAAAAGATGATAATGTTAACATTAGAACTTTGTGTGAAGTAATAAAAAAAAGAGTTTATTCTTCCTTTAATAGATATCCAAGCACATGAAAAGCCGAGAAGGAAAGGGAAAATAGAAAGAAATGACAATTTTGTGTACATTTCCTAGTGTAACAAGTCTTACATTTTGCAGGTAAAGGTATGATCGAGTGATCAATAAGGTTCGATGAAAATTATAAGAGAAGTATACGTCATTAATTCTTATAGTGTTAATGTTATTACTGCATTAATGATTTTTGTATATCTTGCTTTTAAATCATATTATTTTATTTCATAAAAGTTTAATTTGATATCAACTGAATGAGACATTGTCCATCACCATTCAATATAAATTTACACGCAAACAAAGTTGCTTCACATCGATTTACAAGGAAAAAAATGTTAAAGAGTAAGTATCGAGCTTGATAGTGATTTTTTTCCTCATAAAGTATGCTTTATTCTGGAATTATTTTCTATTGATTGTTTAATTTATTATATTGAAAATAACGTGCATTGATACAATCTTAAGAATAAATTGTTTACTTGTAAAAAATACCCAGAATCTAATTATTACATAAAAAAAGAGTTTGAGAGACCTTATTTTATTTTGAGATAACTAATTTTCAGTACTATTATTCCACAATTTGACATAAATAACTTAGTTTGATACTAATAATTAATCTTGACATAACCCGAGTTAATAATTAAATAAAAAATAAAACTGTATTAAATTTTTATCTCACACAAATCTTTAAAAAACTTTAAGTAGATGTATAGTTTATTAAACTAACTTTATTAATAATGCTTTAAATTTTTAAATTTAACTATTACTTTATATAATTATTTAATATTAAAATTAGTACAAAAAAAAACTCACTTAATTTGCAAAATAGATAAGTAAAATGAAATATCTACTCTCTCCATTTATTTTTAATTGTCATGTTATGCTTTTCGAAAGTCAATTCCACTAATTTTTAAAAGTAAATTAGATCATATTAGTTCAATATTTTAAAATAAATATTTTAACGTTCAAAAACTATACAAAAAGTAGGACTGCGTATCGGTCGATTCGGTTTAATTTTACAATTTATCTGCTCGAGTTATCGATTATCGACTTGTAAACATGCTAAACTATTATAGAACCATTAAGATATTAACTTATCAATTATTGATTTATTAATTATTAATCATTATCGATTTAACCGTTAATATTTGATTAAAAAATATGGGAAATCACTTATAAACAAGGTGACAAACCAAAGAAATCATGCACACGAATTGACAGATTTCATTTTGCTCAAAAGCAAACACTGTCACATTGTAAAATAATCGAGAGTTTGATACAGACAAAAATAAAAGTATGAAATTAAACTCTAAGTCAAGGACTATATGGAATAAATGATATGAATATAATTATTTATTTTTTAATATGTTATTGGTTAACCCGTTAAGAAAATAATCTCAAACCATTCAGAACCGATAATAAAAAAATTAAAACCGTTATTGAAATTGCTAAACGAATAACTCATTACCGATAAATCAATAACATTTTTTCGATTCAAATTATCAATTTCAGTTCGATCTTGAACAACTCTAACGAAAAATACTATAAATTATATTATTTTTATTTTTCTCATATTAATATAATAAATAAATATATTTTAAAATATTAATCAAAATAATTTTCAAGAAACTATGACAACTAAACAGAAACGTGGACGATTTTTTTTTTCAATACTCCTAAAAAGGGTAGTTTCCCATTAAATGACAGAATTTCCAATATGGGATATATATTGAAGTAAGATACTTGTAATATAAAATTTCCTTTTCCAAAGTCTACGTTGTCTTGCCTAAATGCCTTCCACGTCGTCGTTTTCTTACAAAAATCCATTGTTCTTCTTCCTCTTTATTCGTTAAGCGATCTCTCAAGCTTCAACAAAAACTCTCCATTTTCAAAATATACACAAAAATTCACACAAAATATATGTATAGATACACATATATTATATATATGAATAAATATATTTGTATGTATAGATAGTTTTTTTTTGTGGAATTTGAAAGGAAGGAAGGAAGAAGGTGTTTTTTTGAATTATTAAGCGAAAATGGCATTGTTACGGAAATTGTTCTATAGGAAGCCACCTGATGGACTGTTAGAGATCTGCGAGAGAGTTTATGGTCGTTTTTTTTTTTTTTTTTTGTTTTAATTAATGGAGGTTTTGTAATTCTGGATTTTTGTTTGTTTTTATTTGAGATCGAGCTGGAATAAATAGAAAATTTATGATTTTTTGAGTTTTTTTTTTGGTTTATACTTTATGTTTCAATGTGTGAAATATGTAATTTTATAATGGGGAAATGGAAATGTGAAGAAGTGATTATTCTATGCATTTAAGAGGGTGGTTTAGTGGTTAAAGAAGTGGGTTGAGCAACATGAGGTCTCTGCTTCAGAGAGAAAAAAATATTTACTTGTCGTCTATTTCTAGCGTTGGTGGATAGAGTCACCTGCTACATATTATTGGTGGGAGTCGACTAGTATCACGTAGAATTAGTTGAGGTTGGCCCGGGCATTACGGTTATCATGGTGGTAGGTATTTTGTGGAATTAGTTGAGAGGCGCTTAAGTTTTGTCTACCTGGTACATGTTGCCGAAAGGAGGTGACACGTATGACGTAGAGTTAGTTGAGGTGTGCACGAGTTGGCTCGGGCAACGTGTTTATCATGGTGGGAGGTTGTAGGTATTCCATAGAATTAGTCAAAGTGGGTATAAGTTTTATCCACCTAGTACATGTTGTTGGTGGGAGGTGACACATATATCGTAAAGTTAGTTGAGGTGTGCGCGAGTTGGCTCGGCCACCATGTTTATCATGGTGGGATGTGACATGTATCCCGTGAAATTAGTCGAAGTGTGCACAAGTTTTGTCCACGTGGTACATGCTGGTGGTGGGAGATGGCACGTTTTCTATAGAGTTAATCAAGGTGCACGCAAGTTGGCTCGGGCACCATAGTTATCATGGTGGGAGGTGACATGTATCCCCTGGAATTATTCAAAGTGTGTGCAAGTTAACCCGGATGTCACGGTTAACAAAAAAAGAAGAAGTGATTATTCTCTGTTAAGACATAGAAAATTGAAAAAAGGAATCATTTTTGTTGCCACTTTGAGGCCAGTGAAGATATATTTCCTTGTTCGGATTCGGAAAGGAGCTTTATTATTATTGAAATTGAAGAGGAATGTATTTGGGCCTTTAATACAAATTAAGACTAGACTTTAGCTACTTTTGGATAATTTGAAGTACATGTTTTGAACTGTATGCCAGCTGGCCCTCGGTGATTTCTCGATTATAAGAAAATATCGAATGTTAAGTTGGAATTGTGAGTGGATGAAGCAAGTTGAGGCAAAATGCAAGTTATCTTGCAATGAAGAAACTGTCATATACTTTAATTCTCCTAAGCGAAATTCAGTTAATTTTCAGGGAAATTATGTTGTGATGACTATATTGACTGCTGCCAAGTTGGCGACGTTTGGCATGCTAGCTGAGCTGAGTCGAAGCATAAGCTGCTTAATCGGCAGAGGATTCAGCTCATCTTTTTCGCCCAAAATACTCTAGTGTAATACTTGGGAATAGTATAATTAAAAGCCTGCTTGTGCTTTGTTTAGTATATTTAATGAAATTTCTAAGTTTCTGCTACCAACTTAATCTAAAATAGTGTTTTTCCAAAGTATGGGTCATTTAGTTCGAAGGGTGGTTGTGCTGGACACTAATGCATAATGCAGTTTCATTTGATCTCTCCGGTGTTTGATAGCACAACTGTTCAATTGGACTATTATAAATGAATAAAGGCTAAAGAAGTACTGTAACTATGTATGTGTTCTGATGATTAATGCAAATGATATTATTCTTAGAATATTTTGAAGTAAAAAAACCCAATGGTATGGCTTTAGTGGTCAATGAAGTTGGAGGAGAACCATGAGGTGTTGGGTTCAGATCTTGGTGGAGGAAAAAAATAAACAGGTGTGGTGGAATAGTCAAGGTGCACGCAACTTGGCGCTTGACACCACCATCACGCAAGGCAAAAGAAAAAACTGAAGTGGAAAACTCCGCCACTTAAGAGGTAGAGGATTGAACTGATTCTTTAGGCTGAGACATGTTCTGTATTAGGGTTAGATGAAAGGAAAACCATGTCACCCAGCAGAAAAGGTTAGCTTTCCAGCAGTCGTGAGTTGAACAGTTTTGATCAGTCATACTTTGATGTGTAGAACAAAAAGGTAAAAATACTTGAGGAAGTGATGCTTTAGATAATCTTCAATCAGTAGTGATTTTTTCAATTTTATCAAGTTTTGAGTACATGTAAATTAGGTATCTTACTCTTACGTGACCCAGAAAAAGGTGGAAGGAATGGAGAAAATACTGAATCTAATAAAGACAACAACTCAAATGTGATGTTATTCAATCAATGCCTTAAAAACTAAAAGGGACACTGTCAAGAAACACCTTGGCATGCTTCCTTGAAGTGTTTCAAACAGTATTGTGACAATAGAATCCAAATTTCTTCTCCTTGAAAAGGGAGGAAAACGGAACAGTAATGTGGCAAGAGAAAATGTTTTTCACTGTTAATTTTATTTTCAAAATATTTATGTTTAGATTTCGACATAATGTAGGAGGCCGAGATTATTACAGCTGAGTCATGTCATCTCTGTTTATCAACACAAAAGTATTTTGTGACTTGAAAATGTTAATGCCTGTTGGTACATCAGTTTTGCTAATAATTTGTTCTATTTTATATGCAGTGTTTGATTGCTGTTTCACCACTGATGTTTGGGAGGAAGAAAATTACAAAGGCTATGCAGGAGGTGTGATTAGTCAACTTCGGGATCATTACCCTGACGCGTCAATATTGGTTTTTAATTTTCGTGAGGGTGTGTCGCAGAGCCTGATGGCAAATATTCTGTCTGAGTATGATCTGACAATAATGGACTACCCTCGGCACTATGAGGGTTGCCCCTTGCTTTCAATGGAGGTGATGCACCATTTTCTAAGATCCGGTGAAAGTTGGCTCTCACTTGGGCAACAAAATGTGCTTTTAATGCACTGTGAACGGGGTGGTTGGCCAGTTTTGGCATTTATGTTGGCTGCATTATTGATATACAGGAAACATTACACTGGAGAACAGAAGACCTTAGACATGATTTATAAGCAGGCTCCTCGTGAACTTTTGTACTTGCTGCAGCCACTGAATCCAATTCCTTCTCAGCTAAGATACCTACAGTATGTAGCCAGGAGGAATGTGAACATGCAGTGGCCTCCATTGGATAGAGCACTCACATTGGATTGCATCATTATTAGGGCTATACCTAATTTTGATGGCGAGGGTGGTTGCCGGCCAATATTTCGTATCTATGGACAGGACCCGTTTCTAGTTTCTGATCGATCGCCAAAAATTTTGTTCTCAACTCCAAAGAGGAATAAAGTTGTCCGGCATTACAAGCAGGTAATATGTTTTTTTCCTCTACTAAAATCATATGTTACTTCCAAAGGGTTTATGCTATCTTTGAGGAAGGGTATCTTTATTCTATTCTGTTGATTAGACATGATGCTTGGTTCGAGTGGCGAAGCCAGGAATTTCACGAAGGGTGTCTTGAAATTGCACAACAAAAGCTTTTTTAAAAAGGAGAAAAAAATTGTTGCTAATGAGATTCAAACACGCGAGCACTAGAAGTACAACTTATTGTATTTCAATGAGATCAATATGTTTGACTTAGAGTGGATCAACTACCTAATAGTTAATTTTCTACAGTTCTCTCGCTTCTTTCATCTTCCCAAAGAAGCAATTTTACGGTTTTTCCTCTGCTCTATGACCTTGTTAATTTGTCAAGCGGTGGTCTTCCGTTGGGATTGAGATGTTTGATTTAGAGTGAATTGGACTATTTAACAAGTTGTTCTACTTGAACCTTATGACATTTTGTTCTAATGCCATTATTCTTATGATTTTGCTCAAGTGGAGTTCAGTTGAGTTAGGTTGTTAATTTCACATGCTTGAAAATGCATGTACCTGTTATATCTTGGTCTTTCTCCCTCGCCCCCTCTTTCCCATTCTTGTTATGCATGCCCTCTTAGGACCCAACTGACTAGTATTGATTCGACATTCCTTATAATATCATTTCAGGCCGAATGTGAATTGGTTAAGATTGATATCAATTGCCATATTCAAGGCGATGTTGTGTTGGAATGTATTTGCTTGCACGATGATTTGGAGCGGGAACAGATGATGTTTAGGACCATGTTTAACACAGCTTTTATTAGGTCAAACATTTTGATTCTTAATCGTGATGAACTTGACACTTTATGGGATGCTAAAGATCAATTTCCAAAAGATTTCAGAGCAGAGGTATGTTTTTTATTTGTTGTTGTTGATACTCTCCAGCTAGAAGCATATTGTAATTTATGAAAGTTATGCTCTGGATGAAGGTTCTTTTCTCAGAGATGGACACTGCTGCTTCTGTTCTTCCTGTAGATTTGTCCTGTTTTGAGGAGAAAGATGGCCTACCAGTGGAGGCATTTGCCAAAGTTCAGGAAATCTTTAGCTCTGTGGATTGGATAAGTCCAAAGGCTGGTGCTGCTTGTAATGTGCTCCAACAAATAACCACGTCAGGTTTAATTCAGGAAAATTTGGAATCCGTTCCTCCCCTGTCTACAGACACTAGCATGCTCCTCGATCAAGCAAATTTGGAGACTCCTGGAGAGAGGAAGGGACCTGCACCAGTGGACAATGATGCAAAGGGCTCATCACCATTTACATTGGAGCAGCAGTCTATGTCATCCATAAAATCATCCTCCAAAGTACAACAAAGTGACCAACAGAAAGTTGAAGCTCAATTTATTGGGACCAAAAGTGAGATGAAGGTGTCAAAACTGCAGCCGTCAATTCCTCTTTCAAAACCTTCTCCTGCTGACCTTAGTACAGAACCTAGTGTGTCTTCTGTGTCATCACAACAGTCCCTGTACGGTCTTCCAACGTCGGAACATCCTCCACTTATAAAGAAGTTGGATCCTCATGTACAAGAATGTGATAAGCTGAATGACCTTCCTTCCCTACCTGAGACCAGGACTCCACCCTTCAAGACCAGCATTCCAACTTCACCTTCATCCTCATCCATACCTGGGAAGGATCAGGGTATTGGTATTGGACTAGTTCTATCTCCTACTCCAGTGACACCAGCACCGCTCACTCCTCCCATGAAGGATAAATTAGTCACTGGAACTGTACCTTATGCATCTCCGGCTACTCCACCCAGAACCCAAGGTCCTCCAATTGTATCCTTGAAGGATGAAAAACCTACTTCGTCTCAACCTGATACATATCTGCTTCCTCTAGCAGCACAGAAGCCAGATCATAAAGGAGAACCTGCTTCACCTCCTCATCTTACTGGGTTGTCTCTGTCTCCTTCCCCCTTGGCACCATCACCACAGACTCCTCCCGTGAAGGATAAACTAGTCACTGGAACTGTACCTTCTGCATCTCAGGCTACTCCACCCAGAACACAATGTTCTCCAATTGTTTCCTTGAAGGATGATAGACCTACTATGTCCCAATCTGATGCACCTCTGCTTCCTCTGACAGTGCAGCAGCCAGCTTATGAAGGGGAATCTACTTCACCTCCTCGGACAGCGCAGCAGCCAGGTGATGAAGCTGCTGAAAAGGAACCTACTCGACCTCTTCATCCTTCTAAAAGTTGTCCTCCATCCCTAGCTCCTCCTAATTCCTCTTCTCCATCAGCTGCCATTCCCTTTATCAAACCTTTAGAACAACAGTTCGTCCAGAGTAGTAATTTTTCACCGCCGCCACCGCCATTGCCACCGTCACCGTCACAACATCCAATCCCTCTATTGAACGAGAATGTTGCTTCTGTTGGTGGATCACCTCAGCCACCTGTTCCTCCCACTCCACCTTTGAAGGAACATTCAGTTTTCAGAGGGGTGCCATCACCTCCACCACCTCCGCCTCCACCTCCACCTCCTCGAGACTCATGCCCATTATTTACACCCCCAGTATTGAGCAAGAATTCTGTCTGTACTAGTGAACCACTTGAACCAGTCCCAACTTCGAAGGGAAGTTCAGCTTTTAGAGATAAGTCACCGCCACAACCACCACCTCCTCCTCCACCTCCATGCCAGTTAACTACAACCCAAATATTGAACACAAATTCTGCCTCTATTTGTGAACCGCCTCGACCTCCACCTCCACCTCCACCTCCACCTACTCCACCTTTGAAGGAAAAAGTTGTTCCCCCAACCAGGGTGCCACCACCCCTGCCTCCACCTCCTCCTGTGCGATCTATGAAGGAGAACTCCTCGTTCAATGGTGGACCCTCTCCACCTCCACCCCCTCCTTTGCCTGCTGCTCAATCTTCTAAGCCTGCGAATGTATCTGCAATGCCACCACCACCTCCTCCTCCTGTATTGGGTTCTCGACAAAGTGTCCCTTCTGCTCCCCCTCCTCCAGTCCCTTCTCTTAAGCCTGATCTAAAAGCAGGTGCTGGTATGATACAGTCAGCATCCAAAGGTAGTAATCTCCCTACTTCTCCATCTCCACCCCCACCTTCTGCTCCTCCACCTGGCCTAAAGGGACGAGGACCATTGTCTCGTACCATGAATTCAAGAAGTCAGTCATCAAAGAAACTGAAGCCTTTGCATTGGTTAAAAATATCTAGAGCAGTCTCAGGAAGCTTGTGGGCCGAGGCTCAAAAATGTAGTGATGCTCCCAAGTAGGTGCTAACTATGAGTGTGAAAGTAGCCACTTCTTAAAATTCTTTCCAGATTTAACTTCTGATGTCCTCCAATTTCTATTTGATAGGGCACCAGAGATTGATATATCAGAGCTTGAATCCCTCTTTTCAGCTGCAGTTCCAACTTCAGGACAAGGCAGTTCAGGAGGGAAAAGGAATTCGGGGACCTCAATGGGGCAGAAGCCGGAAAAAGTGCAACTGGTAATTGCTTATGACTATATGACATCTGAGGTTCCTTGTAGATTTTCATAAAAAATTTCCCTAGATCATTTTATCTTTATACAGTCATTTGCAAAGTTCCTGGTGCAGGTGTTCCATGGTTTGACATAAATCTCAGAATCTTAAATATTATGAACAGTCTAATTCTAACGTACACTTTCTGATCATGGTCTTGTACTTCATTACTTCCTTTAATGCAGCTTGTTCCCCAATCCCTCTTTCTTGACACGATTCTGTGTTTTCACGTGGTTCCTTTTTGGATCAGCTATTTTCAGCTTAAGAAACTTTGTTTTCAGAAGGGTTTCTGGAATGAAATTCTTTGGCTGAAATTTGGTACTTAGTTCCTAAAAACCTTAGTTTGTAAAGAGAGAAGCACAGTGCTGACATTTTGTAGGCATTATTGCTCTCAGTGATCTTTATTTTTCTTTTTAATGTAATATCACTTGATATATAGCATGTTTAGATAGGAGGTCGCACTGATTACTTAAAAATCATACTTAAATTTACATATAAATATTAATTCCAGAATGGACCATGGTTGGATTGTCTAGAATGTCAAATCTGAAAGCTGTCAAATGTGCATGGTGTTATTCATTCAGAACCGTCCCTTAATTACTGAATAACATAAAATTAAAGACACTAGGACCAATAGTTTCACTATTGAGGATGCCAAACCTTATGGCAGTTGGTCCTTTTCTTTAAAAGAAAGTTGTTGGAAAAAAAGGAACTGCATAGGTCAGTGCACTGTACTGAGGTAGCCGTGTAATTGGATTTTAATCTTTTTCACATTGTTTGAATCTAGGGTCAACAGATTTATTATACTCATGATTGAGGTCGGCCCTTTCCCCGACTTTTGCGTGAACGCAGGATTGGATGTTTTGTGCACCAGTCTGCCTTTTTGTTTAATTGAGGGTCAGTAAAATATAAGCTATTGCTTTACCTTATCAAAAATAAATAAATATCAGCTATTGCTGCACCCAAGAGTGTGACCTAGTGGTCAATGAAGTTGGGGGAGAACCATGAGGTCTCAGGTTCTAATTCACACTAGGTGATTTCTTCCAATATGTCAAAGCTTTGGTAGAAAACATCACCTGGTATCTGTGTTGTGCTGGTGGGAGGTAGCAGTATCCGGTGGAATAGTCGAGGTGCGCAAGTTGGCCAAACATCACGTCATAAAAAAATTATTGCTTTTATTCTAACAAATATTTACATTGTTCTGTATCTTAAAAAATCTAATTAATAAATTATGTCTCTTAGGCCTGTAGATTGGGATCTTTTACAGTTATATAATACCATGGTGATTGGACAAACAAAATCTTTTAATTCTGCTTCTCAAGTTTGTTTCCACAGATTATCTAAGCTTCTTTGTCACGGATTCAGTGAAAACCTATTCATGAGTAACATCTGATAGAATCCATTTCCACTTGATACTCATATAGCTCTGTGGAAGCCATTGCCTGTTCTCTCCTCGCATATAGCTGCAGAGAAAAGATGGAAGTGTGGCACTATTTCAACTCTTCCATGTTCTAAGAGAGCATTTACCTGAACTCTATTTTGTCAGGTTGATCATAGACGAGCTTATAATTGTGAAATCATGCTTTCTAAGGTGAAAATACCACTGCATGAAATGCTGGTAAGATGTATACATATACAATTGGCTTTTTTTTTGGATAATATGGTTATTCTAGAATATATATATATCTGACATGCAGCTGCTTGTACCAATTGTTTGTATTCATCTGTGTCATATATCTTGGGTAATCATTTATCCACTTCTGTATGCCTGCAGTAGGGTGGTGCTGTTATCACAATGATTCATTTGACATTTCAAGTTCTAATAGTTAAAGCATGTTATGTGTCCCATATTTTATAGCTTCCAGTGTTTGACTGATTTTTGTGTTCTTGATAAGCAATTATTGTAAACTGTGTGCCATTGTTCTTAGACTGCTTATCTATATAATTTTCACTTCCTTCTGTTTTCTCAATTTTGTACTAAACTTCCTCTCAGAAATATGAATAACAATTCACATTGTAGACCTTGTTAGAGATTCTTTGCAAGATGTTCAGTTTTCAAATAAACATCTGTAGTAACAATATCCATGCTTAAATGGGAACTTACTATTGATTTGGACTCTGTCTGCTTAATTGTATTGGTAAAAAACTTACGTCTTTTAATATCGTAAGACTCTACTTTATTGTATAACCAATGTACATATCCCTGCTGATTTAAGTATAATCTGATATTTAAAGAAAACAAAGCCATTCAAGTGTCACCTATCCCGAGACAAGGTGTTTGTACGTGTTGAATCTTGTAATCACAAACTTTAGTCCTGGTTGTGCACTTTTTGCATGTTGAATGTTCTCATTTTTAACCTTCTCCACCTCTTCCTGTCATCTCTCTTTGTGATGGTCCGTGGACCATAATCCTGCATATAGTCGAGTTACATTGAAATGTGATTATTTCCAAGAATGATGTACACACACACCCCTACACCCAAACACATCTTTTGATTAATTATATATTGGTGGTGGATGGGTAATTGTTCTCCTTATATGGTTTTGGACAATCCTTACCTCATGAGCTAGCTTTTGGGGTTGAGGTAGGCCCAAGGTCCATGAATATAACGTCAATTGTGTGGATTATTTTCTGTTAAAAGTTGGATTATGCTTCTAATTGTTGGCTACCACTTTTTAATAATTTCAACAGAACTCGGTGCTTGCACTGGAAGATTCTGCACTAGATGTGGATCAGGTGGAGAATCTGATTAAGTTTTGCCCAACTAAGGAGGAGATGGAAACTCTGAAGGTGAAAGATCTGATTGAAAAGAGTTAAGGAAAACTAATAATTAAATGTACATAGGAACACAGTGAATAACCTTGTTTTAGTTGCATTTCTGCTTCAGGGTTATAAAGGAGAGAAGGAGAAGTTGGGTCGATGTGAACAGGTTTGTTCATTGTGAAATAACCTTTTTTTCTATAATTTTGCTTACTATCCCACTTTATCCTGTATGGAATTGATTGGACCATTTATATAGTAACATCTAATTGTAAGATCTCTTCGTTGTTGCAGTTTATGTTAGAGTTGATGCAAGTACCACGAACAGAGTCCAAGCTGCGAGTTTTTTCGTTTAAGATTCAGTTTGAATCTCAGGTGAGAAGATGGCAGATGCCAACCTCCTGGCTCTATTCTTTTACTGATTGAGCTGCAATATTTTCTATTCTAATAGATTCCACTTGGCCTGGTTCTGCTGCCTCTTTGCTGCACTGGGAATGTTTCGCTTGCTGACAGCATATTTATTCTCTTTCAATTTCAGGTTTCTGAGCTAAGGAAGAGTCTGAATATTGTGAATTCGGCAGCTGATCAGGCACATTTCTTTTGTTTTTTCTTTCCAACTTTAATGCTTTACCACTTTTAGATGAGACAAGAGGTTTCTTTCTTGATGCTGTCCTTGAATATCATCTTCTCTTTGATGTTGTAATCAGATTAAAGGTTCATCAAAATTGAAAAGGATTATGCAAACAATTCTCTCTCTCGGAAATGCTTTGAACCAGGGAACTGCTAGAGGTGGGTAAACATCTCTTTTATTTTCAAGCATATCTGCTATTGATTTCTTCATTGTGGCGTCTTATTTTTCTCTGAGGGAGTGAGTTGAAGAGTTCCCCTACCCAAAAGAAAAGGAGTGACCTGTTTGACAAATGACAAAAGAAATTACACAATATATGGGGGTGTGGAATTGAGAAATTAAATGCACATCATCAACACTTAAACCTATCAGCTTAGACCATTCACCTATGTTGGTGCACTTACCACATCAAATAATCAGGTCCAGCTTTGTATAGAAGATTAACTGATGTTGTTCCTGCTAAGGACCATCTAAACTTGCTTTTTTCAAATCCCTGTAGGGTGGAAACCACAGCCTGCATGTCTGTTATTTGAATAGGTCTAATTCTTATGGAGATTTACCCAATTATGTTTCATGAAATTTTTGGAAAATTGGTCCCACCAAAAGATTTCCAAGTTGAGAACTTCTTCAGCAGTAGAAATCTAAACTCTAGATAAGGAAAACATGTCAAATAAATCAACTGGGTATGGCTCAAAGCTTTTCTGATGAAATGATATATCTCTGCAATTGTCATCTCCTTTGGCTTTTCTGGTCTTGAAATTATTGAAAAATCCCTGCTTCATTTAGATGATAAATGCAGTTCTTACAAAAAAAGAAATCTTTGAGCAATTATCTTCGTCTCATCTAATAATCTCTTGATGATTTCTGTAGGTTCTGCTGTTGGATTCAGGTTAGATAGCCTCCTAAAACTAACAGAGACACGTGCACGGAACAATAAGATGACTCTCATGCATTATCTTTGCAAGGTACAGTCTTTGATCGGCACTCTTCTTGATGAAAGCATGATGATATGGTTGACTAATATTTTGGGGGTGGTGTTTTCTATTACACACATATTTCCTCCTATCTTGAACAGAATGCAGAATAAAATTTGTTCACTTAGTCCCCAATTTCTTGGCAGATCTGATTGTTTTCTGAAATAAATGAGTCATAGCATTTCATTGATGTGATGCTTGGTCAGTGATTAGTAGAATGCACATTAAGATAAAGCCAGCTTTCAAGGACATTTGCTCGTTTGGAAGGGATCATCTATGTTGAGCATGAGTTAAATTTTCTCTTATCTGTGGCCTGAATTTACATAATCAGATCAGCTGATTGCACCTTCTCTCATTAGATCCTTTTCAATTGTGTCCCAGGATCATCTGTAAAAGAAATCTGTATCGGCTTTTATCTAGCTACAAGTGTCTATATCTGAAGTTAGTAAAGACAAATTATAAATTCAACCCTAACTGGTCAGGTTAAGAAAAAGGAATTAGTGTCTGAAGTTCGTTGGATAAATCAGGGATTATCTCTTTACTTGGGTTTTTGAATCTGTATATAAGTTGATTATAAGAAGCTTAGCTGAAAGGAAGAATAGAAGTCTTATTTTAAAAATAAAAAACAAAATAAACAATGACTAGATGCACAGGAATGGATCTTTTCTCACGACATGCAATCAAATCACAAAACTTGGCTTTTTACATTGTTATCAGCTTCCTCACATTTATCAAATCAATCTATATAATTATCTCTATCCTAAAAGTTGCATGGCGCATGTGGTACTTCCAGATTTCTTATCCTATTGATGTTAAATTATCCTCTAGCACTTAGGCGCTGACCGGTATGAACCTTTTCTTTATAAAGTGTTACCATAACAACTATGTGTCTTTATATTCACTATTTTCTCGTCATTGCGCTGGTATCTTACTACTTGTAACTCAAGATTTTCACTTGGGAAAATGATTTGAATTTGAGTTTACCTTATGTTAACAACCAGCATATTTTACAAGATGCTTAAAGAAATTTTCTCTGCCAGGTACTTGCTGACAAATTGCCCGAACTGCTAGATTTTTCTAATGATCTTTCTAGCTTGGAACCTTGCGCAAAGGTATCATTATTTGGACCAACCAATGATAAGTTCACTATAGAAATATGACTGACAATGGTCTGATTAAAAATTTTCTGCAGATACAACTGAAATTTCTTGCAGAGGAGATGCAAGCTATTAGCAAAGGACTGGAGAAAGTTGTACAAGAACTGTCTATGTCTGAGAACGATGGAGCTGTGTCTGAGAATTTCCGTAAGGTAAGTCATGACTACATAATACTGATTTCTGTGTACCGTCAGATTCTGTCTCTTCCTCTTTCTGGACCACTCTACCCGCTCAATCAAAAATGAAAATAAATAAGCGTGATGTTGGCATCCACTGAGATGCACCCAAGTAGTGATCACAGTAGATGATAGCGCATTTCAAGAAGCCGAATCCTCCTAGATTCCACTATGCAATTCAGAACTGAAAAATTCTCTCGTGATGAAGGCTCTAATTCACTTTTATTCTTTCTTATAATGGATAATGAGAGAGAAAAAGAAATATAAGTCAAGACACTCCTTGGTAATATATAATGTTGAGCAGGAAGAGCAAAAAGTTCTCACTGTAATAAAGAACACCAAGAGCGGAATGGGGATTTGTGGAAGAATAAAGATCCTAGTAGACGAGCAGAGCATTATACCAAATCGGAAATCTAGAGTGGTGAAGAAGATAGGAAAAGAAGTGTTGTCAGAGGGAGCTACAAACAAAAGAGAACATTTATTCTTTTGTAAGACACTGACCTTCTTTTATCCCAGCTCCTCCCTTTCCTCAATCTGATGCGTAAGACCTGAAACAGCCAGCCATATACTTTCTAGTTTTGTACCCATAAGCTGTGGTACTGGTGTTAGAGCTGTATAACTGCTGACATATGTGCACTTTCAAGGGAGTCTTATGATCATGAGTAGATATGCTGTGGAAAGCCCTAATTGACTTGGGACTTTGGTTCCGGATTGTAAAGATATGGCACCTGGGCCTAACTCAACCCCAAAAGTTAGCTCACAAGGGGAGGATTGCCCAAGTCCATATAAGGAGACCACCAATCCATTTCCCAAACAATGTGGTACTTTTACCCACTCTAACACCCCCCTTCACGCCCAAGCCCAAATAGAGCATGGACCGGGAGGCCAAACGGAGATGGACCTGACTCTGATACCATGTTGACGTGGGTGACCATCTCATCTAAAAGCTTACCCACTTCAACAATCATTGTTGTCCCAGGCATAATTTAGTTTCTTTTCCTCATTGGTCCAATATAATCCCCTGGTTTGAGATGAAAGTATGGGAGTTCTGTTTCTTTTTTACTTCATCTCATGCCATCGTTAAGCTTGGTAACTTCATCATCCTTTTTGATCATTCTTGATTAAGACGAGGAGGAAAAAAGCACTCATGTATCCTTGTCACTGGAATGGGATTCCTCTTATTAACTTTCTTCTTATTCCTATTCTTTTTTTTTACTTGGGATAGCCGATGGAATCAAAAAAGAGATCTTGAAACATTTTATTTGCACATGTTGTGCTGGTAGAACAAGAGAGATCAGAAAGTAGATAATGAATATTCTCATTGATTAGTATAATTGCCGTTTGCCAGGCTTTGAAGGAGTTTCTCTGTTATGCTGAAGGTGAAGTGAGGTCCTTAGCTCAACTTTATTCTGGTGTGGTAAGTCTTATTCCTAACAGAATTTTTCGTGGTCGTTTGGTGTCTTACCACATTGAGATGTTCCTAACGGTATGTTTTTCTTCTTTATGTTCCAACAGGGTAGAAATGTTGACACATTGATTCTATACTTTGGAGAAGATCCAGCTCGTTGCCCATTTGAACAAGGTAATGTTTGATAAGTGATCATCTAAAAAAAATGTGCTTCAGATTTTCTGTGATGCCTTGCCTTGTGGTAGCGTTTGTTCATATCACTAAATATTTTGAGTTTACTATTCTACATGGGTACAAATTATACAAAGCATTTTGTATGATCATTTTTGAAACTGGTAACAAAGCATTTTGTATGATCATATGTGCACAGTTTAGACCTGTAACTATAAATGAGGTGCCCAGCTTAACATCATTCCTCTTTTTCTCCTAGTAATCACAACGTTACTAAACTTCCGAAGGATGTTCAATCAAGCCTTAGAGGAAAACCGGAAGCAGGTGGAGTTTGAGAGAAAGAAAGCAGAGAAGGAAGCAGTGGAGAAGCAGAAGATGAGTCATTCGGAGAAAACTTGACACCGTCTGACTTAATGCACTCTTATATGAAAAGCATGAGCATGTCTTCATTGAAAACATGAAAACAACTTTTCTTTGTCATGGCAAAGCTTCATTGAGATTGAAGATTTCACGGGGAGCGAGAAATCAGTTATCTGATGGATATAAAGAACGATGTACATTTCTCTGCAGAAAAACTGGATAACGTTGGTTTAGGTTCAATGCCACCCACAGAGTTCTTCTATCCTTGTTTATGAGAGGTAATCCCAGAACTGCATGCTGTTGCTGCCTATGTTGCTCAGACTCTCTAAAAAAATGTGCCCCTGGTGCATGTCGGATACTTCAAAACTAGTGCTTTTTTGAAGGATCTAACATAGGTGCAACAACATTTTTGAAGAGTCCGAGCAACATAGTCACTTGCTGCTCCTTTTCTGTTTACTGACCCTTTCTATAACTCTTGTTTTCTTGTTTATTTCATTTCAACCTTCTTGCAGAATCTTAGAGTATGCAGATGGAATTACTTTGGGGAGGTAGGCTTATTGTACATATTTATTTATTAGGAAAAGAATGTAGAAATTCTTTGAGAAGATTTTTTTATTTTTTATTTAAAAAAAAAAATGATAACATAGAAATTTGTTGTCCATTTTGTTAAATCTTTCAGTTAGTGTCATTTTTTATTCCCTGTATTTCATGGTGATGATACTAGTTCAGTCTTAGTTTTTGTGGTTCATCCTATTACCAGATATTTTTGTATTATTATTTTTTTTCAATTCATTTTATGCAAGTATTTATTAGAGTTGAGATATAACTTTGTTTGATAATTATGATCTCTTTACAATGAAAATATATGAATAATTAGCTTGTTGTACTCATCCAAGTCTTGTTTTTTTCTAAACCATTTTTCAGTTAGCTAAAATTGTGTATTTTTAGAAAGTATTTTTTGAAAAATACTTATGTAGTTTTTGCTTGGTCAAGGCTTTCAAAAAGTATTTTTGTTGAGAAGTTATTTTTTTATTTATTTTTTAAAATTATCACTAGAACGATTGCTCTCTTAATTTATTTCTCGCTCATTTTTTTTTCTAATCTAAAGCTCCCAAGCAGAGTATATTTGCTTTTTAATTGTTTCTTCAAAGTTGCAATTGAAGGTAACTTTGATATCAAGCTGTAATAACTAAACCAATCATTCCTTCGATTTGTTTCATTTTTATGTGATGATGTTTAACTCGATAAAAATATTAGTCAAAATTGGAAGTAAACAACTTTTATGTTTATGTATGTAAAAAATAATAATATAGATTAGGCAATATCACGTGCCGTCAACGCTCAGCATGTGGAGCAAAGTTCAAAAAGTCACCAAGAAACTAATTTTTTTTTTAGTGGAAGCAATAAATTAATAAACTTTTTTTTAAAATTATAATCCAAACAGTTCTGCACACTCTTCCAAGTCTCCATTCTGTACATAATAATAATAATAATGGAAGTCTCGAGCCCACAAGATGAATAAATTAAGAATGTGTATAAATTTTCGTCTAAGTTGTGTTAGTTACGAATGTGTAAAATTAAAAAACAGAAAAAAGTAAATTTACCTAGTAATGGTAGCCAGCGATCTCTCCTCTGAATATTAGTATTTTTTTCCACTAATGTCTCGTCTGGTAATAGTAGTTTCCTCCTCTTGCCGTTTCGCCCTTATAACAATTCTATAACTCAAAGCAGTCTTGCAGGACATAATAGGTAACATTTAACCTCTATACACTACATAAGTATGTAATCAGTCAATGACAAAGTCAAAATTTTCATTACGGACATTCAAAAACTAATGTATACACACCAAAAATAACTTATGACCTATATACTTCGTATAATTTTATATATTATATAACATACTTATTTGACAAAAAAATATCCAACTATATGTGGCTATGAAACTGACATCAAACCACCCTTCGTCTAAAATAACTCCGCTCATAACTCAAATAAGGGTCATGTGGGGATAAAGAGAAAAATAATTAATTGAATGTGAAGCAATTGCAAACGACCATAAAGCAAAACAAAATAATAGGAAGGTACCTTTAATTTCACGTGTTGGTGAAACATAACATTGCTTTTTTTTTCTTTTTTTTTTTTTTTTTTGGTCACAATCCAAATGCAGCCTTATCCACCTGTGCTTTAATTTCACATGCTTAAAAATAAAAAAGGTTAAAAAATACATTTTAAAAAAATAATCTCTTTTTCTACATTCATCCCAAGTTCTTCAAATTTTTTTCTTCCATTTAACATGAGTTAGGAATAGTGTTGGGGGGAAAATAATATAGTAAATAATAGTCGCCGCTTTAGTTTGTATGATATTATTTAATCTGATATATAAATTAAGAAGAGGATTATGAGCTTATGTATGAATTCTCGAAAGGCCTTTTTGAATATTTTTTAATGTCTTGACTATTTATGATACGTGAAGCAAATAATTAATTATTTATTTTCGAAAAACATTAAAGAATTTCTTTGAGATGCATATCTTTTCTTGAGTTTTACATTTCAACAAAATTTATGAATTAATTGACTAGAATTGTGAAAGCAAAAATGTTTCATTATTAAACTGCCTATAGGTTAGTTACGATATGTTTAAGGTTATAAAATTAGACCTATAACAATTTACCAAGTACTATATGGATTTTAATATGATGGTAAAAAATGTTTATATTATATCAATATATTAAAGTTAAATTCTTATTCAAAATCATGAGACACTGAGAAATTCAAAGTATAACACTTTTTTAAATATTATATATTATAATTTATTTATTAATTATATATAATCAAGCATAACAATAATTAAGCCCTGATGCATGCAGGAGGCCACATTGCACAAATTCATAGACTATTTTTCACCCTAAACATTAACATTTGCCTCCCAATGCAATTGTTTTTTACCCCAAAATTCATCATTATTATAACTTTTTTCTATTTAACCAATAGGGTAATATTTTTTCTGACTAATTGTTATATTATTATTGTAGTTGTAGTGCATTTTTCCTCCTTATGTAAATTATGGTTATTTTCTTATGGTGACTCGATTAATAGAATATATATGATATAGTGATATCGTAAATAGTGGTGAAACTATTTTTACGTTAAAAACTCATATCGTGTATAAAAGTAAAATTATATAGTATAAACTAACTTGGGAGTCTTGAAATAACAATACAATCATTTCTAATTTGTAGGAGTAATTATTATCGGAATTGAATCGTGAAATTAATCATTGCTACATGCATCACGTCTTTTGGAGTACAGTCTTTTCAAAATCTTTATAATATATGGAGTACGTACAGTATGATTTGATTTTGATTTGACATAAAATTTAAAAAAATAAAAATAAATAATTTTGACTTCTTTTTTTTAGGAGGAAAAAGTACAAAAGAGCATGGCATGTGAGGAGCAAGACTCTAGTTAGTCTTGGTTAAAGAGAGTCACAGAGATCCAATTTGACATAAAAGTGAGTGTCCAAATTTACCAAAGCATCTCATTTTACCTAATCATTACTCCCCACATTACATTTTATTTTATTTTTACCCTTTTCCACTATTCTATGATCTTTTTCTTTTATAGAAACTATACAAGAAGAATGAATAAAAGAGGAATTTACTTTAAATACACTAATAAGATTAATGGTTTTTTTTTATATCACAATGAGAATAAAAAACACAAAGAAGATCTGTATAGGGTTAATTTCTACCACTCAAACGATAACTAGTCATATGAGATCATTTTTTCATAATAAAGAGTTGGGTATAAGTGTTTTATCACAGCCTCCGTATTATTAAATGTGTGGTCTTAGATTTTGAAAAATGATTTAGAAACCAACACCTTTACCTGTGCTTCTACAAATTATGTATAGTCTTAAATTCTGATAAATAATTTGAAAAATAGTAATTAACATTGATGTTAAAACATGAAAAAGTAACTATTTTTTTTTGATAAGTTAAAAGTAACAATAAAAGTGAACATACGAAGTATTAACATACTTACATGCTAAAAAAACTAATTAACTTAATTCGCTTCTTCTTGATCTCATGACAAATTCAACTTTACCATTTTTCGTTAAACAACACTCATTTATAAAACACAACAAAATAAGGAAAAGAGAAAGAAAATAAAGATAAATGAAATCACCAAATCAAAAAGATCCAAAAGAAGAAAAAGAAAGGCAAAAATGAATAGAAACTCTTCTCTTCTCTCTCTTTCTGGTATTATGGGATCCCAATGTACTAATTCATAACTTTCATCACACCCCTCTTCATCTTTTGAGCTACATTAATACATACTACCCCCCCCCCCC